TTTGGCATATATTTAAGTAAATTAGGGTAAGTAAAAGAAACTCACTTGTGAGTGATAATAAGTGACTTGTGTGATAAGTGACTTTTTGATAAGCAACTTACCATAAACCTGCATTTATCAAAAAGAATTACCATAAACCTACCAATGGATCAAACACCACCTAAATGACAAAGAAACAAGTCATTCAGTTCAGCCACATTAGTCGTTAGCATATTATCTTCAAGTTGTTTCTTGGTCCACCAATTAGTCTCTTAGGCAGGACCCCATCCAATCTTCTGAAAACAAACTAGCAAGTTGTGGGGATCCTAGACCATTCCATGTGTCTTGGGGCCCCACTGCCCCAGACACATGTGAATCTTGGTTTTAGCATGTTCCACTCCAAAAAGACATGTAAACCCAATTTACAATCAAGATGTATCAAATCGAGCTTTCACCTTTATGCACTATAATGGCGGGCATTGCATAATATGTATGTTCCACTTTTATTGATGTTTACAATACCTTTCTTCTTTCCTTATTATTGTCATAGTAACATATCTTGGCTCTGTAACTCCTGCTGTTAAACTTAAAGCCAAGTCATAATTCAATAACATTCATATACTACAAGAAAATGCATCATTAGCGGCACTTTTCGATCTGGCTATTTGGTGATTGCCGCTAGAAATATCAATACTCCCCTGTTGTTGAGGGTGCAATTGATCAATTCACCAGGCATCTAGTTTCTGAGTGGGTAATCGATCTCTAGCACTCCCATTTAACACCTGACAGAGATGGTCCAGAGGAGCTGGTGCAAATCATCAATGATGTCCATGGAGAAGTTGCTTGTCGTATGAGAGAAATAAATCTTATTGATCTTCTTACGAGGCTTTAGTTTCAAACTTCTTATTTGCTTTGTACCTCTATCTTACTAAGAAATGACTATAAGGGGAGTTGGGGGATGATGCAGGGGTATTGTCAATCTAATTTCCACTCACTTGGAGGTTTTTCGTGCAAGTCAAGCCAAGATAGTTGTGCAACAAGGGGCAAAGCTAACTATTGATCGCAGGGATCTAGAACTAAAGCTAGTTCTTGCTGCTGAATATAAGTTGCATCCTGCTTTATTTTCTGCTGATGCTGAACACAAGGTTGTTTCTTTTTCAAGTCATCACTGACTTCTGATTCAGTTTCCATGTGAACCCAATAAGGTCTATAGGAATAAATGAAATTTATTTGATTATTGTGGTCATGGTATTTTTTTTATTTGTATCTTCACAGGTTTTGCAGCATTTTATGGATGGGCTCATCTCTTTCACTTTCAAGCCTGAAGAGCTGCAGCGCTCTTTCTTCCGTAATACTGTCAGAGAGCTTATTGCTTGTGCAGTGGTTTATTAAATTTCTCATGGTTATTTCTTGTGCAGTGCTCTTTCAACCCAATAACCCCTTTTTTATGGTTATTTCTTTACCAAATTTCTTCTTCAATTTTTCATGGCAGGTTTATTAATGAAAGGATTGAATATTTGGTTCTTTCTCATACCAAAAAGGCTGATAAATCTGTGACTGGTGTTGAGGACTCAATCTGTTCCTTTTTCTGGGTTTCTAGATCAATCTGTGATTGGTGTTGAACATGTGAAGTTTAAGCACAACCAGTCTAGGATTATCTCATGTGAACCTGTGAAAGAAAATTTTAATAGAACACCTAAGGATCCTTTGCTTTCACTTGATGCTTAATCCTCCTGTTCCTGGAGTTCTTTACCCTCAAATTCCCAAAACAATGACGCAAAAGACACACGACATCGATCAGGGGGAGAATGGGGTGATTTGTTGGATATAATTTCCCGCAGAAAAACTCAAGCTCTTGCTCAGAGCATTTTGAAAATATGTGGACCAATGGGCGGAACTACATAAGGAAAAGGCAAGTCTGTCAGCTAAAGAAGTTTCAGAAAACCAACCAGCGGGGATTTCTGATTCTTTGGATCACTTACATGTGTCATTTAAGCAAAAGGGTGGACAGTTTCAAAAAAATACATCGAAAGAGCACTGTTTTCCCAGGACATGATGGTCAATCTACAACAGGAAACTCATGTACCTATACTATTGCAAACAGTTTAGTTTATGCTCCAAATACCTCACATAAAAAAGTGGATAAGCATGATCTCATGCGCCTGGAGGAGGTTGAATCAGGAAGCAGCAGCTCTTATCAAACTGATGATGACGAAAGCAATAGTGTGACAGGCCTTGGTTCACCTGGGACTAAAGTTTGGGATACTAAAAATAATAGAAATGCTTCCTCTTATATACACCATCCACTTGAAAGTTCTGAAGGACATCTAGGGAGGAAGAGTAAAGGGCATGCCTACTACCAGAGAATACCTAGAACCCAGTCAGGCAGGAAGAAGTCTAGGATAAAACAGAAAGAAGGTGAACATATGGCAAGAGATTGAGGTCTCCCTCAAGTGCCGAGGTGCCAAGTCAGGGACTCCCTCAGCTGCTGAAGTGTCGAGCTAAGGTTTCCATAGTAGGCGAGGTGTCGAGCTGAGGTCTCCCTTAGTTGACGAGGTACCGAGCTGAGGTCTCAACTCATTGATAGGTTCAGGACTTGGAGGTTTGATAGTTTGAAAAGAGATGGTCGCAACTCATGGATAGCAGTTTCTGATAAATTCAGGACTCCAAGGCTTTCTAGCTTGGAGAAAGATGATGGTAGCTCTTGGATAGAAGTGCCTGATAGGTTCAGTACTTGAAGGCTTTCTAGCTTGCAAAAAGATGATGGTAGCTCCTGGACAGAAGTCAGGGATAAATTCAGGACTCGAAGGTTGTGCATGTGCTCAAAGAATGATTCTGGGATTGTCTCTAAATCATAATTGTTCTGCAGCAATAAGGTAAGGAGGGAGGTACATTCAGGTGCCTCAGGTAGTCTCCAAATCCCAGTTTGCATCAATGAGATCTTGTGCACATGCTTCCATTCTTCTCTGTCTGGTGGGTCATCTGTTCTCCTACCTGCTCTCACCAAGAAGCGACGACCATGGTTTCTTCCATCATGAAGAGATGATGATGGTGATGGTGATGTAATCCTTGGTGCTAGATCTCTAATCACATCATGCATCTTGACATTCAATTGATGCTCTCTCTCAATCCTTTCTAACAAAGAAGCATTTACCAAGCGATTTACAACCGCATGCCCTTTATCTTGTGCCTCTTCCATGTTTTTTGCACCTTCAGTTATAAATCCTTCCCATAACCAGTTTCTATTAGTTCGGCTACTAGAATTTCAAAGTCTTCTGGCTACAATGCAGCATATAAGAAGCAATTCCTCACATTTTCACTGCTTAATTGGTCATAACTGAACTGCAATTTATTGAACGCTGAGTTTTCTATATCATCAATAATCTCATATTTAGCTGAACTCAACTCTTTCAGGGCATTCCTCCATACACGAACATCATTCTCATTCCTCAAGGAACCTCCAATGACAAGAATTGCAAGTGGCAAACCACGGCACTCATCAACCACACATCGAGCTATTTTCATAATACCAGGAAAATCCACTACTTCACCAACTTTTTCATGAAATAGCTTCCATGCCTTCAACCTTGATTTCCTTATTAGTCTCCATCTTATTACAAACATCTAAGGAACGAGATGTCAATACTATCTTGCACCCATTTTCCTTACTTGGATTTGGGACTCCTACAGCTTCCAAATCTACTCTCTGCCAAAGGTCATCCAACAATAACAAGTACTTCTTGGTTTCTAAATGCTTCGATAATTTCCTTGCAACACTTTCATCTGACTCACCAGCCAAATTCAGTAACAAATTGACGATCGCTGTGCAATCTCATTTTGGACCTTTCTTAGACTGCAATTGCTGGAAACAATGACCCAAATGACAATTCGAAACATCTGACATATTTCAGGTAGGTTGTTCACAATCTTCAATACCCTTGTCTTGCCAACCCCACCCATTCCCCAGACCCCAATTTTTTGAACTGTCATCTTTTATGCAGTCTAATATCTTTCTGACAGTGCGATCAGTGGATGTGTTTCCCTCTGCCATTGAAGAAGGTAACTTCTCAACTGCCTTTAGAGGTGCATCAACCACCACTCCACCCCGGAACCTGGATTCCTCCTTCAGCTTTGCAACATCATCTAGAACTTGAACTATACATCTGTCTACCTTCTTGCACCAACAAATGTTGAGCCATGGGCACCACCCACTGAGACATTTCTTGTTTTCTTTCAACTCTGCTTCAATCACATCCATTTTAACTTCGACCTCCCTTACTTTTTCAAGCCAAGCTTTACATTCATTTGTCACCATTTTTGAAACCATGTCTCTGTTCAAGTTCTAGCATGATTCAATCTGGTGAACCTCTTGAGGGTCCAAAAACATACAGCTCTGGGTTTTTCATCATGACATTATGGAGGCTAGAGCCTTAGATCTAGAGTGAAAAATCAATCAGATGGATTTTAATGTCAGCTAATTCAGATGGTGGAAAATGTTGCTAGAGGTAGGGTTGAGATGAAATCGTATCGGGGCTCTGTTCATCCAAGATAGTTCCTTTTTCCTCTAGATTCTTGATTGCTTATTGTGTTGATAGACTTTTAGAGGCTTTTTTTATGCTGATGTTTGGGAGTGGGAGCTTGTTGTTCCTTTTTCCCTCTTCTATTCTTGTAAATGAAACTTTGACTTGGGAGCACAAGCTCTGATAATAAATGACATGGGCAGGAAGCATTGCAACAACAGATTTATTTAACCATTGAGGCTCATAGATATCACAGAAAGACAAGAAATATGAAACCAGACACAAAATATGTTTGGAGCCTTAATGCGTCAATATGTAAAACCAAATTAATTTCCGTTTCTAGGCAATCTGCGAATGTTTAAAGTTATAGGTGCTTACTCACAATTGGTTCAAGCAATGGTTCAAGACTTCCTGTAGGTAGAATACCTACCTCTTCAGTAATGAAAGTGAAAATTTCAGCCAAATGAACCAAAGATTTCAAAACAACATTTTAGCACTGTCTTTACTCTTTATAGGTTTCTCAACCTTCCAAATAAGTGAATAACAGTAATCAACATTCAGCAATATAACATTGACTTATACCACAACAACTACCAAAGGAAAAATGCAATAGAATTAGTTGGAGATTTAAGCTTCCCTGCATCCGGCTGCACAAATTAGTTGGAGATTTAAGTTTTGCCAACCATGACTAAGGCACGACATGGTCATTGAAGAATGAAGATAGTAGTCTTAACCTTCAAGTTGGTGCACTGGCATTGGAATGGTTTGTACCATCTGACTTAAGGGATCTAACCAGAATAGGGAGGAGGGGTAGCAATAAGACAAAATGATCCAGTATCAGACATATCATAATGAAAAATGTTTGACAGTTTGACAGGAAGCAAATTAGGAATGCAGAATACATATCCTTGAGGAACAAAATCATGAAAACGAGTCTGGGCATCTCAGCACTTCAGCAGTTTTATTTCTAGCCACAGTAGCTAAATGGACACAAATGTCAAAGAAAATATGAGGCAATTTAACCAATGGTACAACAGATTTCTTTTATACTTATTGATTAATTAAAAGTTACCAATAAAAAAACTAAAAGTAAAGGAAAAAAAAAAAAGATAAAGTACTCCCAAGCCCAATTAGTTAGTCTTTTGAGTCTTAGCTTAGCAAAACGAGCAAGAAGACCAACTCCCGAAGTTTCTGCTCCAGTTCAGGCTGATAATTGTGGTTTGACTTTCCTACCAGCTGAACACCTGAGAAATGGTTTTATAATTAGGAATGCATGCTCGTTTGATGATTGTCACATTCACCATCCAAGTCAATTTTTGGTACAAGTTTCCTCCATAACTAGCTTTGATCCAAATGCATGTGCTTTTTCTTCATTGCAACAATGCAATGAAGAAAACAAGTCAAGGTCAATGTACTGGGATTCATGGTCCCATCTTATTTCTCTCTCATTGGCCAACATTCAATATTGTCACTACAAACAGCACCACCAGAGGTAATCAACTAAAGTAAGAAATTACATGGGAGCACCAATGAACAACCTATACGGCTATATTCCCTTCTGTAAACTACCTTAACCACAGTAATGATGTTTGCAAAGAATAACTGATTCAAGAAGACCAATTAACAGATTCAAGATCCACAACATCCTAAGCCAAGATTCTGATTGTTCAGAGAGTTGCATGCCCATCATAGGTAGACCATTTTAACTCCTTGTAAACTTCACCATCTCCACCTCGCACATCCTAGGACCAGCTTCAATCATCCACCACACATCTGTTAAATTAGGATTAGGGAGCTATCTGTTAAATTTTTATGTATAAACTTCTCTTTTGTATATCGGAACTTTAATATATCTGCCCATAAGGTATCCCAATTAGCAAAAACTCACTCTTTATCCTCTTTTACTTATACTTCTTATCCAATTTGGATACCAAGGGTAGAGGACTATGTAAATATTGTTTCTCCTTGATATATCTTTTGCACCTTTCAAAAAAAAAATCATCCACCACACATCAAAAGTTAAAGGCTACATATTAAACCATTTGAATACATATTGGACCATGGTACCAAGCAACTAGGTGTTGACAAGCCAGATCCCTTTATTGAGTGGGAGATATGAGATCCTCGTGTATTTTTTTCCCTTTTGTATTTTCTATTAGATTAACGCATGGATCAAACTGGTTGAGCTGGACCGTGCTGAAAAAATTCAACCCAGTCATACCTACCAGACCAGGCCAACCCAATTACTAAGGTGCTGTGACTCAAGGACACTACTTGTGCAACATTTGGCAGACTTCACATATGAATTCATTTGATTGCCTCAAATTGAACTCAAGACCTGCTTTACTGGGAATAAGTGCAACACTTGGTGGGTTGAACACTTGTTCTAACCTTAATTATAGATGATAAAAAACACAACCATGTTGCGTGAAACTTGGTGAAACGTGTCCTAGAAATTATGGATTATGCATGAGCAAGGTGATAGCTCTAGACCTAAAAGCATGAAGAACATGAAAGGAATAAAATAATGAGGTAAAGGTAAAACAGGAAATGTAAAGGATATACCATGTTTTATGCACCCACTTTGATTAGCATATTTTCTTGTAAGAATTTAAAGAAGTTGCAGACTAAAGGCAGGAAATAGAAAGGATATACAATGTTCCATGCACCCACTTTGGTTAACATATTCACTTGTAAGAAATTGAATAAGAAACTTGCAGATTAAAAACATAGATAATGTAAAATCCTTTCACATTGTGCTTTACTCCTTAACCCCCAAAGAATAGAACATCAGGAACAGACTATCACTTTCCAAGTCATACTCACATGGACAACTAACTCATCAGCAGCTTGGACTGCCTTCAGGAATTTCGTCCACAGAAGCCAAAACCAGTTGGGGTGGGGGAACAAGGCCCTCCTTTCTTGCTTTTCGGCGTTCACGTTGCATTCTGAAGTACTCTCTTTTCCTTGCTTTGTAACTGTTCGGATTTTCAGGCTGTTCCACACGTGGATAAACACTCACCTGCAGTGATACATTAAAAACAAATTTTGTATTTTGTCAGCCTAGAAAACTTAAGTTATCATAAAACAAATATGCTGCAAGTTCTCTGGACTTGTATCATCACCTTTTTCCTGTCTGGTCCAAACTTCTCAAATTTGACTAATCCATCAATCAGGGAGTAGATGGTGTGGTCTTTGCCCAACCCAACATTCTTCCCCGGATGAAACTGAAAAGTTACAAGACAAAATTCAAAAGGCAATTACAAGGATGTTATAGCACATGCATAACAGCTCAATATACTGAAGTGAAATTTTTGTTTTGGTAATGGGAAAAATTGCTACTTAAATTTCTGGAGACAACAATACAAACAATGTCAAATGCAGATTCTATCTTGCAAAATCCATCAGATAAGGCATCATTGATGCTGTTATGCAGGGCATGTGGAAGGAAAGAAACAACAGAATATTTGAAGGTATTTGATTTACCACATTAAGCAGGAATCTACCAGACACCCTGCAATCTTCCCCAAGGTTTCCCCTTTCATTGCCAAGGGTCTTATCAAGCTCCAACTTGAGGTAGGATGGTAATATCCTTTGGACTTACAGCGGTCTCATGGAAAGCGGTTCATGGTGGCAATCCATTGCCTAAATGAAATCAGATAATTCACGATTGAGGGTTACAGAAACAAGTTCTGTGGCACATGCATATGAGCACATAAAGAAATAGTGGACTTCCCCAGTTGGGCCAGTTCAACAATTACGTACATTATTTGATTCACTTGGGTTCTGAACCCGAGACCCCAATGATTTTTGAACATGCCGGTGTTTGTCGATAAAGACAAAATATCACATCAAACTGATGTTTGATTAAAACACTGGCGTGTTCAAAAATCAATGGGTTCTCCGGTTTGTCTTGCAATGATGGTCGCAGGAAATGTAACCTCACTTTGTGCAAAAAAGAAATGTTAGGTCCATAATTTCGTATCCAATCTACCCCTCTCAAGACCCGAGATAGCTGGGACCAATAATGGTAATGGAATTCTAATTGTGATATTTATAAAACCTGATGGCATTCAAGCGTTCAAGGATCAGAACAAATATTCAATGAACCAGTACGCATTACAACTTAAATCAAATCTCTAAGTGGTAACCAAAACGTTCCAACTTCAGCCTAGTCCAAATTCCAAAGCTTCCGACTAAAGTTAGGGCTATTACCTTAGTGCCACGCTGCCGAATAATAATGGCGCCGGGTTTGGCAACCTGGTCACCGTAGATCTTGACGCCGAGCCTCTGACCCCTGGAATCTCGACCGTTCTTGGTACTTCCAGCACCTTTCTTATGTGCGCACTCGATAGTCAATGGAGATTTGAGAGGGAAGGAAACGGAGACCTTGTTGCCTACACAAATGGATCCAAAATCTCCTTTGAGGAAAGATGAGCCCGAACTTAGTGAAAGCCCTCTGAAAGCTCCAACCAGGTTGAAGCTCATCGTTGTAGCTGACATTCTCCTTTAGCCTCTATCTCTCTGAAAGTCGGATAAATTAAATAAAATGAAAGAAAAAAGGATTCTTTGCTTATTTAAGTAGATTTCGTGAATGAAAGCGAAAATATGTATCAGTGGTTACGGTGAGAGCAAACCTTCTCCTTCGAGGTCAGTTACTGACCCTCCAACGAAAATGAGACGATAGAGGCCAAATGAAACCTTATCTCTGTTTTGTGCCTCTGCCTTGTGTGCGTCGGTTCGGCACGTGGCTATAGCTGCACCCACATGCACATCTTAGCGTGAATTGAGAGAATCTACCGTATTAGAGATGTTCCCCATACACGGTTGGGATATGAGTGGGGCGCCTGTGGGGCACGCTCTATGGGGCGCACAGGCGCAGATGTAAATTGTTTGAAAACTAAGCTTCATTTGTATGACACGTTAGCATGAATGTAAGGGGTAAAAGAGTAATCAGAATCAATATTTTTCAATTTAAATGACAACTAGCGGGGACCCGTGTGATGTACGGAAAAATCTGAAAGATTTAATAATTTTATTTATTATTAATTAATATTAAATTAATAATCAAAATATTTTGTTAATTAACTAAAAGTATTGAAAGTTATTGTTAATATCTAAAATTTTAATAATTGTATTTTTTATTTAATGTTGATTTACAAAAAATAATTATTATTAATTTAATAAATTTAGTTTTATTAATAATTTGTAGTAATTTTAATAATTGTTCTTTTTTATCAATAGTAATTTTAATAATTGTTATTATTTTTATTATATTTAAATGAAATTTTGATTAAATTTAAATAAATAAAAATAATTATAAAAACTAACATTTTTATTAGTTTTACTAATAATTAACAATTATATATGAATAACAACGGGGTGGGGGCGAGGCACCCATTCCTATCCTTGCCCCGTAGTTAGGGCTGTTCATAAGAATACCCAACCCGACTAAACCGACCAACCCGGACCGACCCAACTTGAGTCAACCGGGTTTTCTTCAGCACCGGTCGGTTCCAGGTTGTCAAAAATCATAAACCGACTTAGTAGTTAGTTCTTAGTTAGTAGTTACAACCTATTTAGTTCCTACTTAACTAAGTTGTCTCTATCCTAGTCTTCTAGTTAGGAATGACATTAATGGCAAGTATTGTAAGACAACTAGACAATGAATTTTTTTGTAAAAGTTTAAAGAAAAGAATCAAATGATCCTAGTGTATATGGTCTTTTACACCAAATAGGCAACCAATTACAATTAGAATTAGGTGTCCTTTTTTACTTAGATTATAAGGTTTCTTGAAATATACAAATTCCAGTCTTCTTTCTCTAATACAGTTTGACTTTCTATTTTCTTGATAACTTCTATTCTAACTTGGTCCGCCCCCCTTAGCCCCTCAACTCAAGCACAACTTCTAATACAATTTGACTCTCAAGAATAAAAAATTTGAAATTTCAATTTATTACCATGGTTGAACTTAGAGCGGAAACCGACCCAACCCGACTTAAACCGACCAAGTCGGTTTTGCTTAACACAGGGTCGGTTTCGGTTTCAATTTTAGGTAACCCGACTACGTCGGGTCGGTTGGAAAAATCTCAGTAAACCGACCCATCCCGACCTGTGAATAGCCCTACCCGTAGTCAAGACACTCTACCCCATCCCCACCCTGTCCCCAATGTCAGGTGGGTTCAAGGCAAGGCAACCACTCCCCAATGTCGAGCAAGTTTAGGGGCAAGGCACCCCACTCCTCATCAAGGATGAAGAATCCTTGAATTTCCTTGCCCCGTCCCCATTATTGGGCGAGTTCAAATAGGTGTAAATCGGGTCATGCTAGCCCAAGGGGCATCCTGGGCCGTGCCCCCCTCCCCTAGGATAGTTTCGGTTGGTTCAGCACAACCCATGGCCCGAGCCTTGGATGGCCCCGTGTTGTGTCGTGGACCGGGTTGGTCCATGGGCTAAACCTTAGGCTTATGGGCTAGGCTAGGCCACGGACTAGGCCAAACAATGAGAGGTCCATTTTTTAAAAAAAATTGAAAAAGATGTTTAAATTTTTATTTCATATCATTTTTTTATGTATACAATTGTTTATATATACAATTAGACCTATTCATGGGTCAGAAGCCCGACAGGTCAGCCCGTCTTAACTCATTATTTTTCAGGCTTTGACAAAATTTCAGGCCATGGGCTCGAGCTCGAGCTTTCTCAAATAAGCTCAGCCCAGGCCCAAGCCCGAACCGATACTATTACATATACAAAAAATTGCTTATGTTATATAAATAAAATATATATATATATGCTTCTTAAATTATTAATAAATATTAATTTACTATTTGATTCCTCTGAGTCGAAGGCTATTTATAGGAATTGAAAATATTTTAACTCCCAAAATACCCTAAAAACTAGCTAGTTTTTAGTTGTTGGGAGAGGTATTTTGGTAATTATAAAGTCATTTATCACTTCACCTAAATACCCCCTAAACTAGTTGTTATATAGTTGTTAGGGGCATTATTGTCATTTTATCTTCCTCAACGCCAAAATACATAAATACCCCCATAAGCCTTTTTTTTAAGTAAAAAGCCCCCCAAAAAGTTGAAACTAGCTGTTGGGGGGTCCCCAACGACTAGTTCTTTGGGTGAGTTGGGTTGTGCCAGACCGCGTGCTAAACTACAGGCTATGGGTGACACGACCCACACTATTGTGTCGTGCCAGGCTGCGAGCAATATGACCCGATTTACACCTCAAGAATACACTCCACCATACATCCCAAACCTTGTATTGGGAACATCTCCAAATGACAAGTGTGCTCTATGGGCCTCCGATGAGAACTCGTTTAAACTGAAATTGTCTTATATATATATATATTTTATAGAAATACCCTCAACATCCCAAACTATATAAGGGGAATTTATGTATTTTGGGTTAGGGGGGAGAAAGAATGACACAAATGCCCCCAACAACTAGTTTGGAGGGCATTTTGGGTAAAGTGATAAATAATTTTACAGTGAGCAAAATACCCCTCCCAACAACTAAAAACTACTAGTTTTTAGGGTATTTTGGGCAATTGAATTATTTTCAATTCCTATAAATAGCCTTATCCTCCACCATTCTCATCACACCAATTCAAAAATTCCTATAAATAGTGCTACCCTCAACCATTTTCAATTCCTACAATGATCAAAGTCACGAACAATAGGAGAAAATGATGAAGTCAATATTTTTTGCATACTCAATAGTTGTATAGCAATTTTTTTAATTATTGTAAATTTTGTTTTATTTTTATTTAGTTTACTTGGTAATTTTTAATAATGCATTTTTTTTATTTTCAAATTGTAATTATATTGTATTTTTTATATTTTATTAATTTATTCCATTTTCCAATTTTCATATTTCATTCATCCAACCATTATATGCTTTGTATTTTTCAAATTTAAATGAAATAAAATTCCTATTTTTCTTCCAATTTGTCATTCACTTTGAGTATTTGTCTCTTTGGCTTCTTATTTGGTTAAGTTTTTTTTTTTTTTTTCATTTCTTATTCTTTTCAAATAATTTTCAAAAGAAAGTTAAATATTTTAATTTACTTAACAAAAAAAACCAGTCTGACCCATTTCGGCCCACGCCCAAGGCCCGACCTGTGACTCAGCTCGACATGGCTTACAGCCTGCCCGATCTAGGCCTGTGGCATGGCATGGGCCCACACGAGCTTGGGCCATACTGGGCCGACCCCAAATTATCCCCTGAGGAGGGCAATGCGGCCTGTTATATATATATATAAAGGCCATACTGAACCGACGTAATCGGTGCCCAATCAATTGACATCCCTATGTTCCTTTGCAATTCAAATTTGAACATAAAAATTCTGCACTCAATATAATTCAATTATGCATTTATTTGTAAGAGATTGACTATAACGATCATAAAAATAAAGCCTTTCCGGGGGTTACGTTTTACACACTTATTTGGTATAAATTTTGTATCTTTCTTGAGCCAAAGTAGTTCGGATTTCCTATTTTCAGCTTATTTGCACCACCTTGCATTTACACCAAATTTGTATTGCATACAAACTGAGCCTAGCGGTGCAATTTGAGTGGATTCTGCTAGATTGAGACTTGAGAATTAACCCAATTCCAATTCTAAGACTTACACCTAGGATTCAAGCCTGGCCCAATCTGAGCTCGAACCCTAATTTACCAATTTAACTCCAACCTTAACGTAACCCAACACATTTCAGGTTGAGCTCAGGTTAGGTTGGGGCCGTAGGGCCTATAATTCAGGCAGTTATTTGGGTTTGAAAAGCCTTTTAAATGTCTTGCTTATTCGTATTTTTTTTTTTTTGAATTCTAAGGCCTAATTTACACGTGGGATGAATTAAAAATATACATGGATGTATCATGTATGGGCGTGAATTCAGGTTAATTATGCACATATTATAATTATAAACAACAAAATAATACTTTAGTACGTATTGTAATTGTATAAATAATGATTCTATATCATATATTCCCTCTACCATCGTCGGACATCCGACCATCTCTTGATTTTTATATAAAAAATCTAGATTTTAAATCCTAAATCTCAAACATATAAAACTTAACCCTGAATCTTCAAAACCTAACCTTCAACCCTAAATTTTAACTGAAAAATACATTTGATTGGATACAATTCCTCCAATATGGTACAGCCAATAATTCTTTTACATTTATTTACGTGTATATTTGAGTGAGTTCAGGTTGAGTCAGTTTTAGGCTTGAGCGAAACCAGATTCAATCTTCACAAAGCCCTTTTTATATTGTGTTTACAGCGTTTTGTAGCCATCATCCAGAACATTTCCGTATCTATAAATTTTATTTATAGAAAGATATTTTCAATGCACAACTGTAAATAATTATAAACACGATGTGAGAACGATTTTGTGAGGAATGAATCTGATTTTGGCTTGAACTACCTATGGCCCCAACTTAATCGCAGCCTTTACATCAATAAAGTCGAAGTTTTTTGGATCTGAGATCTTCCGACCTAAGCCCAATTCATGCAAAAGGCTTGGGATGGGTCGGATTAATCCAACCCTAGCTTGGTTCATACCTAATCCCAAAGCCAACCCGTAGCTCTTAATATATGGGAAACCATTCCATTATTTAGTTGAATCAATCAAACAAGATATCTATTGCATTAAACCATGACGTATTCTCAAAAAGAAAAAAAAAAAAACCCACCATGGCATATGAAAACTCCATATTACAAATTGTTTCATTAATTTCATATATTTTTTGGGCAATTCTTGCATAGTCGCAAGCCGGCAGACTTGGTGAGACACAGCTAAACTGGACAGCCATCATGAACGCATCCAAGTGGGTTCTAGGGAAATTCCAGTGTACAGCCCACAGTTAGTATTCATCATGGGCCAGCCTGGCCGAACATGGGCCTACGAGCTACTCGTTGGGCTAAATTACAAAGCAAGTAATCGACATACAATTTGAAAATGACTCAGATAAGAGGGGGGAAGAAAGAAGTATGAATTTTGCTTTCATCATCACCATCATCATCATGATGGCCATCAATTATCGCCGACATCATCATAATCTAAGTAGAATGATCATCAATGCTTCTCAAAGCCCAACCCACCCATCTTGTCCATGACTTGATTCGACGATTCCCTTTTCCCTATCCGAAAAATCATTACCCACCGCGTCCCCCCCGGCCCTGGGTTTCCAGGAACCTAATCATTAATACCTCTCCTCTCCTCAACTCAATCTTCTCCTCTCTTTATCACCGTAACTTTCACGGTACGAAAATGTCCTCCCTTTTCACCGTTTATCTCCACCCCTGCCACTCCTTACCTTAACTGGAGGTGTTTAATTTTGGTTGGTTGTTACGTTATCTGCTCCATCTATTCCCTTCCCTGACCTTCAAGCAATTCTGCTGTTCTAGGATTTTAATTCCTTTGTTTGTATGGATCATCATTTGACAAATCCACACAACATGATGGGCTTTGGGCCGCCAATCGGAGTTGAGTTTTTTGCTTTTTCGTAAAAATCGGGGTTGAGTTGATGGGTTTTGTAAGTTAGAACTCATTGAAGACACAACTCTATGGTATGGTGACCACGCTTTCGACTTTTACTCACCAAACTTTAGATTTCGTGTGTTAAATAATAATCGATGAACTTGGATGTACGCCATCTGCCTTCGCCCACCACGCTTTTTCTATTTCTTCTTCTCTCTGGGACTTGTTTGGCCTCTTCACTAATCGATATGACCTTCCCTTGAATCGATGGGCAAACATAGAAATAGAAATGATTAAAGAGTGCATTAGTAGACTAGACCAAACTAGTAGGTATATTCTTTCAATCCAAGTTGTTTTTTCACTCATATCGTTGTCATTGTCAATTCCCCTTTTCAGCAGCTTGAAATGTTAACACAATTTGTGTGTGTATTTTTTTTCATGGTTTTAAAAATCAGACCAGACCGGACAGTCAGTCCGTTTGACCCGGGATCTGGTCATGTCTCTTGGTATTGTTTTGAACCCCAAAACTCATTTTATTTTTATTTGAATTTTGAACCATCCGTCCAGAATTGTACACGCCAGCATTTTATTGTAAAGCCTGCAGGTATTGTGTTTATTATGTTTACTGCTAAAGGAATTATAAAAGGAAGCCAGCAAAAGTGTAGAAGGACAAAGTCGAGCCGGAGGAGTATGTTACTCTGGTGGTCAATGATCCAGAGAATCCGATTGCTCTGGTCTCTTTGAAATTTAAATAGTCTTAACAATTAAAATGGCTTAATTGAAATACTTATTACTATTTTGTTTTTATTGAAAGGCAAACAATAAGTCATTCGATTAAGCCACTTCGTCCGTTGGTTGCCAAACGGTCTCTTACGGATGCCAAACGCGTTGGAGTTTGGAATTTGGACCGATAGTGAGGGTAGGTCCGTAGGTCCCTCGTTACTCTCGATTTCGTGATTCGTGAATGCGGGGTAATAAGGGTATTTAAGTCATTACATTAAAATAAACATCATCGCCAAGCGAGGGGCTTTAAGTGAAAGCAAAACTGTGAGGATTGAATCGGAGTCATTAATGGGACGAAAGAAAGGTCTCAAAAAAAAAGGCAATTGGGTGTTACTTGACTTACTTGCCGCGTTATCGTTCATAACACGTGCAGGACGATAATAGAACAAAATCCCTCTATTTATTTTATTTTATAATTTAATTAAAAAACAAGGAATCTCGATCAAATACGTAAACATGCTGATGCTGTTTGAATTGGGGGTATTTTTGATCTCATCGTACTTAAATGCCCTTCCTTGGACTTTGAATATCATAATTGCCATTCATTCGGCTTTTATTAATCACCGTACAAGAAGAATCATGTGTGTGAGTCCTACCTCGGTCTGTTCCGTTCATTGACCAGAGGCTGGAAGCTTTGAAAAGCAAACCATTTCTTGGATATACTATTCTATTCTGGCCTTCTGGGATGGGGTGTAGACGTGGACGTAGTAACCAACGTATGGCTAACAGCTAACTTAAAGAGAATTTATTCTTTTTTGTTTATTTTAAGTAGGTAGGTGGCGTAATTAAGAGACATTACGCAGATAATCTTGTGTAGATGCCGTAGCATAGGGAAATTTCTCCGGACACGTGGCTGCATCAGGAAGGAACAGGAAGAGGGCCGTAGCATAGTGCCAAAGTGATTATGGGAATTGGGTCTTATTCCTTCAAGGAATCCGGCAGTCCGGCTTCCGGCATGGCATTTACGTAAATATAATTGTTGAGAAGGATTAACTTAGGAAGTGGTGAATATGACAATTATGACAAAGGGCCTTCTGATGACGTGGGAAAAGATGAGTGGGCAAAGGAAGAGAAAAAAAGAGTGACGAGGGAGGAGGGGAGGGAGTACTGGAGTCTGGAGGGACGAAACACAAAAAAAGCAAAGAGAAAGAAAAGAGAGGGGGAAGAGGCGAGAGTCTGGCGGGCGCAGAGCATGGAATGGAGGGGCTGGTCATGCTGAGGCAGCTAATCGGACAAGTTCAGGAGCTCTGGGAACTCTACGGCTCTCCTCCTCATTATCTCCACTACCATCACCACCACAACCAAACTCAACAACATCAAAGGTCTTCCTCTCTCTCTCTCTCTCTCTCTCTGCATCTTCAAATTTCTCTCTTTTTTCTCTTTCTATACGCTCTCTGATTTCTGTGCTCTCGTATGTCTTAGGAAATTCATAGTTCGCTGTAAATTATTGATTCAGATGACTACGAATTTACCCATTTTAGTCGCATTCTGTATAAAACATTTTTTTTCTTCATTTATTTATATTTTCCTTTTGTTTTTCTTTCTTCGGTAATTAAATGGTTCCGATTGTTTTTTTTTCCCTTTCGCACTCTTGCCTTCACTGTTTCTGTTTGCCACTTTCTTTCCTTCTGACTTTCGAGTGTTCAGGTCTCATTTTCTGTCTTTAGGTGGGTTAGATGTTTTCTCTCTATCCCCTTTTGGCGTCGTCTTAGAAGAGGATCCTTTATCCTTGCTGAAAAATCGAATAAACTGTCAGTTGAATTTTGTCTGTTTTGTGGCAATCTTGTGTTACTTAGTTATTTAACGTGGGTTTCATGACTGTTTCCGGGTTGCTGTTCCGTCGGATAGGGCTAGCGTGATAACCAAATAAACCACCCAGACAACGTTCAATTGTATCCTCATTCCTCAAAGAAATAGTTTTCATTGTTTTTCCCTCTTTTCTTTTCTCAACCATAACCCATAATCCAAATACTGTCACTTGTGGAAATCGTAACAGCGTTTCAGTGGAGAGGGAAGGAATGACCTCTAACTTTCTTCACCAACTCAGAGCCTGTGCCAAATCGAAAAACCATTTTATGGGAAAGAAGCTTCATGCCCAGATCATCAAAGCTGGCCTTGACCAATGGGGAATCCTTCCCAACAACCTCATCGACATGTACGGCAAATGTGGACTCCTCCAAGAGGCGCTTCACTTGTTTGAGGAATTGCCTCAAAGAGACCCCGTCTCATGGGCCTCAATCCTCACTGCATACAACCAAGCCAATCTCCCTCACCAAACCCTGTCAATCTTCCCAAATATGTTTGCTATCGATGGGTTACAGTCTGATAATTTCATTTTTGCCACTCTTGTTAAGGCCTGCTCTAGCTTAGCTGCTGTTAATCTTGGTAAACAAGTCCATGCCCAGTTTATATTGTCCTCGTTTCCTGATGATGATGTCGTTAAATCTTCTCTTGTTGATTTTTATGCGAAATGTAGATTACTGGGTGATGCTCGTCAGGTTTTTGACTCAATTTTTTGGAAAAATTCTGTTTGTTGGACTGCTATGACTTATGGGTATGCTCGGAATGGTAGGAATTTGGAGGCTATTGAACTTTTACGTATGATGCCAGTGAAAGATTTGTTTTCTTGGACAGCTTTGATTTCTGGGCTTGTACAGAGTGGAGATGATATCCATGCATTAAGGCTTTTCATTGAGATGAGAAAAGAAGGTATTGAAATTAGAGACCCTTTTGTTCTTTCAAGTATTGTTGGGGCTTCGGCTAATTTAGCGGCATTGGACTTGGGGAAACAAATTCATTGTCTCATTGTAGCTTTTGGTTATGAATCTAGTGTATTTGTTAGTAATGCACTTGTTGATATGTATGCCAAATGTAGTGATATTTTGGCAGCACGAGATGTCTTCAATAAGATTGATAAACGAGATGTAGTTTCATGGACTTCAATTATAGTTGGGGCAGCTCAGCATGGACAGGCTGAAGAGGCACTGAGTCTATTTGATGAGATGGTTTTGACAGGACTAAAACCAAATAAGGTCACCTTTGTTGGACTGATATATGCTTGCAGCCATGTTGGCTTAATTGACAAAGGTCGTTATCTTTTTGATTCCATGATTAAGGATTATGGTATCAAGCCTTCTCTGCAACATTATACATGCTTGTTGGATCTTCTTAGTCGTTCTGGACATCTAGATGAGGCTGAGAATCTGATTAAAACAATGCCGTTTGAACCTGATGAACCTACTTGGGCTGCTTTATTAAGTGCTTGTAAGCAGCATGGAAATTCTCAAATGGGAGTCAGGATTGCTAATAATCTACTAAGCTTAAAACCACAAGATCCTTCCATCTACATACTTCTATCTAATACTTATGCCGGTGCTGGTATGTGGCATATGGTGTCCAAGGTGAGGAAGCAGATGGCGGTTATGGATTTTAAAAAAGAACCTGGTTACAGTTGGGTTGAATTGGGTAAGGAGGGCCAGGTATTCTATGCGGGGGAGGCATCAAACAAAAACAGGGACGAGATTCTTGGGTTGCTAAAGCATTTGGATATGGAGATGAGGAAGAGAGGTTACATTCCAGATACTAGCCTTGTTCTACAGGACCTGGAACACCTAGAGAAGTAACAACAGATGTTTTGGCATAGTGAGAGGTTGGCAGTAGCATATGGGTTACTTAAGGCAGTCCCAGGAACAGTGATAAGAGTTGTCAAGAACCTACGTGTTTGTGGGGATTGCCATACAGTTCTTAAATTAATCTCTAGTATAACAGAGAGAGAGATTGTTGTTCGGGATGCTAATCGGTTTCACCATTTCAAAGAGGGAAATTGCTCATGCAGTGATTTCTGGTGATGGTGGTTGATGACTCAGTTCCAACTTCCAACTTAAATGGCAATATGAGATATTAAATAGGATTTTACACACCAGAGGGGTTAAAAGAATTATAAGGTTGCTTGAGACCCTAGTTGTGACACTATTTCTGTTTAGATATATGTCTGGTTCTAGATGTTGTCGGCACAGTTGCTGTTTTTCTTGTTTTCTATTACATATCTTTCTAGATAATAGGGAGCGTTTTCTCATGATTTTTCCTCTACTCTTACATATAAAAAAAACAGTTTCCTTCTTTGTTAAATAGATTCTTTTTTTTGTTCTTTTTCTCATGACATAACGACAAAACAGGATTCATATAACTGACAACATATAGTTGGGACAAGGCTTAGTTGAGTTGAGATTTTCTTTTATATTTCTTAACACATTTTATTCTTTGAATTTGTAGTTGGATATTCTTATTCACTTTTATGAGGGTGGACCTTGGCACAACAATTGGGTTGCTCCATTGCGATCTGGGTGACCAGGGTTCCAATCTTGGAAACAGTCTCTCTGTATGATGGGGCAGGGCTGTGTACATCTGTCCCAACCTAGACACCGCATTGGCAGGAGCCTTGTGCACTGCACTGCCCTGTTCTTATTCACTTTTATCCTCGAAACCTCATCTCCTTCCCTCTTCTATCCAGTTATCTTTGCTCCTTAGATCAAACATCATCAGGAGATTCAGGACCAATGTCTAGCCACTAATGTTGCAATAAAAAATTATATATTAAAGAGTGTAAAGTTGGTTTTAGGCATCTTTGATAACAATAGATCATAAAAAGATTGATCAAATTAACGTTGTTTTTTGCTAATTAAAATCAAGGAACTTTATTACAGTGTACTCTAGCTTAAAAGGCAAGGGGGGAGGTGCTTGGGCAAGCCCATACCCAAGAAATGCTTGGCATGCTCTGTCATATTATGGTCTTCATATTACCTATAAAAATTAGTTTAAGAGAAATCTTATTAGAGCTTCTAGAATTTTGAAATGTTGGAGATGTAATCATATAACTTTTCCTTCAACCTACTTTCTAGGTTAAAAATTTGTCAATTTTGCATGATTCTGTGTTGTCTTGTTAGATAGGTAAATAAGTTGTCTATTTAACAAGACCAAGACCTTGTAAATCTAATATACTTTGAATGAACTATGGCCATCTTATAATAGGGTGTTGCAGTCAATCATGGATTTTGGTCTTTTTTCTTCTTCTGGTTTCTCTTAGAATTGTTTTTAATGTGTTTGGTTTTAATAGGATTACAAATTATTCTTTATAGTTGTTTTAAAAGTTGGTCCTTATTTGAGTGTCCCTGTTGGTTTGCCTCAGTTTTTTAAATAGTAAGACAGTGATTGAGGCTATGATGAACATAAGTAGGCACTAAAGAGGGAGAAAATGGAATTTATAAACTTCTAAAGATAAGAGAAAGGAAAAACAGAGATTTAGATCATGTTAGATATATCAAAGAGGATAATAACAATGAGAAGTAGATGAATGGGAAACTAGAATGATAAGATCAAATGAAAACATATTTTTAGTAACCTAGGACTAGTCCCCATAGGTGATAAAATGAGGAAAAGTAGACTAAGATGGTTGGGCCATGTGCAAAGAAAAAGTGATTCATTACAACTTAATGAGTCTAAGAGAGCTAGGGCAGAGCAAAAAGGACATGGGGGCTGGATGGAGAAGGTGCGAGTGGATGTCAGGAAGGTGGGGAAGATGGAGAGAATGAGTGTCCTAGACGCCAGCCTAGTCGGGAGATTTGTAGGAAGGGAGATGGGTGCTGGAAAAGTGGAAGCTTGGGCGGTTTTGGAATAGGGACGGGAGAGAGTGATGGGAGTGAGAAAACTTGGTGGGGGTCTGATATTGTTCATGTTTCACAGCAGGAAAGCAGCAGATTGGGTGTTGGAAGTAGAACGTTCGAAGACTAGTGAGGTCGAACTTCGACTAGGAAGGTGGCACCCGACAGCAGGGGTGATTGGTAATGGAAACACCAGAACCGCCTGCTGGATTGTGGTGGCTGGGATTCCTCTGCATGTGTGGTGTGCGCTGACGTTTCAAGAGATTGGAGAGAGGTGCAGAAGGTCCCTCACTTATGACCCAAAAAATCGAACCTGGGATAAAATGGATTTGGCGAGGATCCTAGTGGAAATGGAAGATGTGCCCTGTATCCCAAACTTGATGAGGCTTAAATTTGCTGGGAATGCTAGAAGATTTAAATTACATTCCTTTGAATTTTGGTGAAAAGATAAGACGATGTTTCTGTTTTCTTTTTTGTAAGTACAGCTGAACAGCTTCCGAGGAGCGGAACTTGTTCATCCTTTCCACCCAAATATTTATATTTAAGTGGATATTTATCACTATTTTGCCCATTGAAAGCTTCTTTGTGTATGTCCCGTTTGAGTAGATTATCCTTGCTTTAGCATGGTCAGTAGCACAGCAAATATTTCCTTATCTATGTAGTTAAATTTCTTTTCTGTTAATAATAGTGGTGCTTGATGAGTGGGTGGATTGCCATATCTGCTCAACAGCATTGGTTACAAACATCCCTTGTAGGCATTTTTTTTTGGTAGTATGTGGTATTTGGTCTCATGGTATGTGGATGATTGAAGTAGGAGGTTGGTGGGCTGAGGAACTGACTATATATTCTGCCATTTGTCCCTATTGTTTCGTCTTCCTTTTTTTTTTTTGATCAATAACATCATCTTCATTAAATTAAGAGAAGAGAGGGAAAATAATACAAAGGGAAATAAAATAACTTGGCTCCCCAAAAACAGAAAACACAGGGAATGCAAAGAAAAATTAAAAACTAGCCCAAAAAACAGCCTCCCTATTCACTCCTTGCTTGGCCAACCCATCCGCAAATGAGTTGGCACTCCTCTTCACCCAGCTGTACTGAATCTCAATGTCCCTACCCAGCCATAAGAACTGTTTTTTCTCATTGTTAAAGTTCCACAAACCACTGTCCTCTGTCTTCAACCAATTAACCACCACCTTCGAATCACCTTCCAGAATCAAGCGGCTAATATTTAATTCTTTTGCTCTTCGAATTCCTTCAAGCGCTGCAAGGATCTCAGCCCTAAGAGAGTCACCTTCTTCAATAGGGCCAGAGAATAAAGCAGTAACAATCCCTTCCTCATTCTTGAAGACTCCAATCCCAGAGGGCCCTGGATTCCTTACACTGCTGCCATCAAAATTCAGCTTTATAAAGCCCGAGGGGGGAGGGGGCCAGAACGGACAAAGAGTCCTCTTGCATCTAGCAGTGGAAGCAATCTCTTTCCAGTTTCTTAGCAAGTCGTCCATAGGACAATCTGAAAACAACTCCAAAGATTTTACCCAGTGGACAGCTCTTAAAAGGATTCGATCTAACAAATCTTCCAAAGTTTTTTCCTTGTCAGAAAAAATGCGTGAGTTTCTTTCTTCCCACAAAGACCAGCATACCGCTGCCCTAATACACCTCCACATAGTCTTCCCTCGCTTCTTAGGCCAACTGAAAAAAGAAGGAGAAAACAAACCTTGGACAGTCTCCGGAGGATACCAAGAACACCCAAAACGGGAGAAAACCCACTCCCAAACAGTTTTAGCAACCTTACAAGAGACCATGAGGTGGTAGCCAGATTCCCCATCAGCTTTACAAAGAGCACATTTATTAGGAAGTAGACAATAGTTGGGTCTCTTTCTTTGAAGTAAGTCTAAAGTGTTGATTCTTTCTAGGAAAATATTGTTTCGTCTTCTTCATGACTATCTGTAGTGAATTTTAGCAAAGATGGTTCCATGATTTAGATATTTACCATTGATATATAAGTTTGAGAATGATATAAATCAAGATACATCATCATCTGCTTTTCAGGGGCCTAGTGACTAGGTCTTGCCTCGAGTGATCATCAAATCTATTAAGTTTGAGATGGAGTTATAGTATAGCTCAGCAATTTCCTCATGTGCGTGTGTTATACATATTGGCATGTTTTTACATTGTAGAATATTTATACATCTTGGCTACACTCCCTTTGGAAAATTTTCATGTTTGCATGTGTATTTCATGGTCTTTTTAGGTGTTTCTCGAAGGTGTCTCAGACATGGAAGAATTGAACAAATGAAATGATACATATTTTACGGACTCCAAGGGTACCGGAACTAGCACAATAGACCTTTTAAGAACTTGTTAGTATAGGAGTGAAAAAGTACATCTTCAAGAGCACAAATGAACCAGGTGTTTGCACTAAGACATGGATCAATTGCATAAAAAATATACAATAGACTCCTCCCCTCCGGGTATGTGTACACATGCAGAAAGTAAAAAAAGAAAAAAAGAAGAATCATAGTTAACCAATTAAACCACCATGGCCCAGCCCCTAGACTTGATACAAGAGAATAAGGTTTCCATTTTGTTAGAGGACCAAGGTCCTTTATTGCAGTCCCATCTACCTTGTCTAGTATTTCTAGCATTTCTTTCTCCTGTCTTACTACCTCACTCTAATTGTTTCTGCACCCATAGCAACTTTTCCCTTCCCTTTTCTGTCACTAGATTCCTCTTGCTCACCCCACTTCAAATATTCCAAGCCCTTCTGGTCAATTCGAAGCCTCTGATTTGTTTCTTTTCTTCCATGTTACAAGGATATGTTGGTACGAGTGTTGGAATTGAAACAAGTACTAGGTGTTGGGTTTGGTAAACTAAAAAAAAGGTTTCCAGGACTTGGTAAGTATATATTTTTATGAAACTTATAGCCAGCAGTATTTTCTCGTGCCAGTTCTACCTTCTCTGAGAAGTACAATATGGTGGCTGCAGTTTAGTTTCAAAGAGTTTCACCTTAACAGATTGATTAAGAATATATTTTATTTATTTGCTTTTCTGTTCTCTCATCCTTATATACGATGTTGATGATATATTGATATTACTTGCCTTGGCTTCATGTCAAGATGAGCACTCCAAAACTAGTCCATTCTTGCGCATTTCCCTTGTACGTGCAAATGCACATATCACCAAACTAGTGTCTGACATTTCTTATTTTGTACATTTTTCTGGGTTCCAATTTGCGCATATCCATTGATGATCCATAGAGCAAAGCATTGTGAAAAGGAATATAAATAAATGTGATACTTTCTTTTGCCAGATGGTGCTTCCTCCATCCTGATAATAGCTCTGTGGATGATGGTTACTACAATCTTATGATGGGGGGAGGAAAGTCCAGTGAATTCAAAATGGTAGAAAACTACAAGCCACCACCCACCAAGAAACCTCGAAGAGAACGTAATCGAGGAAAGTTGCCTGAAACTGCTGGTTCAACCGAGGTAATGGAACAGCATATCTGGAAAGAATTTCCCGAGGACCTGTTTGAAGCTGTTATAGCAAGACTCCCCATAGCTACATTTTTCCGGTTCCGTTCAGTCTGTAGGAAATGGAATTCTTTGCTTACTTCTCATAGTTTCTCTCAACATTGTGCCGAGGTTCCACAAGGCCACCCGTGGTTCTATACCATTACTCATGAAAATGTCAATAGTGGAGCCATGTACGATCCTTGTACAAATAAATGGCACCATCCTTCCATCCCATCTTTGCCCACGGAGGTAATCATACTCCCAGTGGCTTCAGCAGGTGGTCTCGTATGTTTCCTAGATATTGGTCATAGGAACTTCTATGTATGCAACCCTTTGACTCAGTCGTTCAAGGAGCTGCCAGCAAGATCTGTCCGTGTCTGGTCTCGTGTGGCAGTTGGGATGACTCTGAATGGGAATTCCACAAGCGAGGGCTACAAAATCCTCTGGGTCGGATGTGATGGAGAGTATGAGGTCTATGATTCGGTGGAGAACACTTGGACTCGCCCAGGAAGCATGCCATCAAACATCAAACTACCACTGGCCCTGAACTTCCGGTCACAGGCTGTATCCATTGATGGCACACTATACTTCATGCGTGCTGACCCAGAAGGGATTGTATCTTATGATATGATTAATGGGGTTTGGAAGCAGTTTTCAATTCCATCACCACTGCATCTGACGGACCATACCCTCGCAGAATGCAGGGGTCGGATCTTGCTTGTTGGATTGCTGACAAAAAATGCAGCTACATGTGTTTGCATATGGGAGCTGCAGAAGATGACGCTCTTATGGAAGGAGGTTGACAGAATGCCAAATATCTGGTGCTTGGAATTTTATGGAAAGCACGTTAGGATGAATTGCTTGGGTAACAAGGGATTGCTCATGCTGTCTTTGAGATCGAGGCAAATGAACCGTTTGGTTACCTACGATGTTGCAAGCAGGGAATGGCGGAAAGTTCCAGGCTGTGTGCTCCCACGCGGGAGGAGGCGACAGTGGATTGCATGTGGAACTGCGTTCCACCCATCCCCGACTGCTTTGGCTTGATCCTTTTCTTTTTCTTCTTCGTCTTCCCGTTGCTCGCAGACTCGCAGTCGCAGGTGGCAGCATCATTTTGCAACTGATGAAGTTTCATGTCCGCCGCTATGGACACTTTTCCTAGTTATATTGGCCTAGGCTCTTGGCCTTGTTTTAAGTTTGTCTTTTCGGCTTTTCACTGTAATCGATGATCTTGTGGCGACAAGGACTATTCTTATGCTGCTGCTGAGCGATGCTAATGCTAATGGTGTGTTCCAACTTCCAAATGATGATGGTGATGGTGATCAGGGATTCGGGAAGATTGAGGACGATAATGATGTGGTTTAGTTGATGATAATCTTTCCCGTTGTTGCCTTGTATAGAATAGACAAATATACGGTATTCTCCAACCTGAGATGATGATCTTTCCCGTTGTTCCTTTCACATCAACAACGTTGCAGAACGCGTAATCTGAAATAGAATTGGCATTCAGATTTGGCGTTTTATGATACCTGGAGATGGAAAATATATACCAATGTTGCTCATGGCACCTGCGCAGCCATTTTTTGCTCAAGATTTCTCAACCGTCTTGAGATCATATGCTTTGGTGTTTGGTCAGCTCGAATACCGGCCGGGGTGCTTTTATAGGTTTCAAACTAGCAACTTTTACAGTATAAATCATGGACACTTATATGATAAAATGTAGTTACTTCCAATCGCTGCAGCTTTCAGAAAAATGAGATCTTTCCGTGAAATTGAGTTGAGCAGTATATGGTTATAAACACCCATTTTCATCAAGTTTTCCTAACCCCGGCCAACTCGATTCTGGACTCTGGAGTCTGGACGGATGCTTATTGAGCAAAAAAACTTGACATCAAGTTTTCAAATACTTCACTCTCATTCAGCCATTGCCCAAAATCTACATCACATAACCAGATCCACTTGAGTTAATTTTAACTTTTATTGAAGGGTTCACTTTCCCAAGCTATGTTTTCTAAGCATCATTGGCATCTTAATCGACCAATTCCAAAAATCAGGTCCAAAGACTCATAACTGACCACTTCAACCAACTATCCTTGCTAGACGATCAGATGAGTCTCAACAAGGTGAGCCTGAGCTTGTACATTTGACCCTCTCTTATTTCTGCATTTATATTTGTCTACACTAGTATGCAACCTAGGGTTGTGTTGCCAGTCTGAGGTAATTTCAAACTGTGGAAGAGAAATCTGTGGATGACAGTTTAGAGGTACTTCTAAAACAACACTGAAAAACAATGCTATTGGTTGAAAGATAACCAAATATTCAAAGGGAGAAATCAATGCCTAATTCATTAGTACAGGAGTACAATGTAAATTGATTTTGGAGATATCAACTCTTCAAAAAGGAAAAAGATAGACCATTGTGAGATGCGCTGTTACGCTGTATATCTCCATCACCTGCAGTTTTGAAACAAAAATTTATATGGTCAATTAAGCTCTGGCCCAAAGAGAAACATATTTCAAGAACTAAAACAGTCCCAAAAACTAATTTATGGCCAAAAGACTAACAAATTTAAAGACATGACACCAGCAAAACTTACAACCAATCAACAGGCATCATAAAAGTAGTAACCAATCAGGTGGATTTTCATCAAATTCACTGGGGGTTGTGATTGGTCAATGCTTTTCCAGTATCATGTCTTTTCGGCATCATATATTTTCCAGAATCTTGATTTTAGCATGTTTCAGTCCAAAGACATGTAAGCCCAATTTACAATCAAGATGTAACCAATCATTTACACTGAACTCCAACCGTATGGGTTTGGCTACATGAATCTATCCTATTCTGGAGCTTTTACCATTATGCACTAGAATGGCAGGCATTGCATAATTTGTATGTTCCACTTTTATTGATATTTACAATACCTTTCTTCTTCTTTCCTTTTTATTGTCAGAGTAACACATCTTGGTTCTGTAACTCCTGCTGTCACACTTAAAGCCAAGCCATATTCAATAACATTCATATTCTATTGGCTTATAGCTGCTAATAGTGTAAAATGTATTGAGGTACAGCAACTAGCTAGAAGGTTGGGGATATCTTTTCACTGGGTTCAACAATCAGCAAATAGGCTAGTTGATGACTAGTCTAGCAAGGAGCATAAAGGGACGAGCTATGTTTGAGAAATATTACATGGGGTTAGGAACACAAGGCGGGAAAATATGTAAAAAGGCACAAGGCTTTGGGGTAGGCAGCAGGAGCTTGCCTAGCCTTTAATGGGGTGCAAGGCACATAGTCTTTTGTATATCATTTTTTCTCTCACAATTAATGAAACATTTTCACAGTTACCAATCAAATAAAAATGTTTTGACTAATATTTTCACATTCTGCAAGGAAGTTACTTTTCTCAACCATAAGAAATAAGGTTATACCTCTCCATAGTGCTGCAATAACTAAAACCTCAGCTACTGCAGGTTCATAATGGCAAAATAGATAAAAGTGCCTATGAGCAGATCACATCTATCACCATGTCCGGCTGTTTGTTTTGAACTTTGGACAATTAATGATACCATTCACAGATAAGACTGAACATCAAGGAAACCTTCTATGAAGATGGAACAATTTTCTACTAATGTAACCACAACTCTGAACTCCCAAGGATACTTGGAGATGTATGTAAATCCTCAATATAAATGTGCTCTTTTGCCAAGGATAAAAACTATAAAAGTTTTCAATACAACACCGACAATCTACTGTACAATAAAATATAAAGAGTATAATTTAAGTACATTAGACTCTGGATACATTTTCTTGAATTCCAATCTTGACAAAGTTGCCTGCTTTTATCGATAAAGAGAGTTGTACAAGTAGAAATCTGAATACTTTCTTCGGTAATAATTTTAATACAAACAGAAGAAAGAAAAAAAGGAAGTTACAGTTGTTCCAGATTTCCATTTGTTTTTTTTTTTTTTTTCTCTTCTATTCATAAGCAATATAATGACACTTTAATTACCACAGATAGGATTTTTTTCAACTGCCAATTGATTAAATTTTTATAAGAAAATAAAATGTATGCAGCCTTCTGCTGATAAAAAAATATATATGTATGCAGCCTTCTAGCAGCTTCTTAATGCCCCTTTCAGAACCAGTGTTGCATAGATTTTCCAAAATGGATGAAATGCCTGTATCAGATGTACACCAGTTTCCAATACTCCCTGGATAATTGCAAACACCTCTACATAACATTCCATTTTATCCTTTCTTATTTTACATAATCAACAGTTGATGAGGATGATCATGATGAATACCCTTTTTTTGCCTATAAAACATTGCCTAAGTAATAAAGATTAATTTGGATATTAGGATTAAAATGGAAAAGCATATGCTATATATAGACTATTTTAATACCATACACTTTTCCATAAGTATGCTATCGAGTCAAAGTTAGATTCAAAGATATGTGTCAATTCTGATTCTTGTTTCTGTGTCCATGTAACACTGCTCATAACTACTACTTCCAGAATCCAATTCCTGCTTCAATCATACAACTGAAAACCAACCAAGGCAAGATACCCTGCTAAGAATGATAATTCGTTTGTTTACTTTTCAAAGTTTTCAAGTAGGTTTCCTCTAAGAGACTCGAACTAATAACCTAGAATAGTATTTCTTAATTCTTATCCAACTTAATATGTCCATTATCATTTTTCTTACCCCAATAGCCACAAATCCTGATTAGTGAAATTCCATATTTGTCAACATGCATGAATTTCAACTGCCTTCTTTAAGGGTCACTATTACCTTCCGCATGGCTAACGGCGGCTCCAGGGATTTCCTTATCATCACAAAAACCTTCTATTTCTTTGGACATTTTTTTTGATAAGTATTTTCTTTGGACAACATTAAATCTATAATGACATCAATTCTAATTTCTCCAAGCCTCAGAATCTGGGGCAAGCTTTACTACGGGAAAAGACAATATAGTTCTTGCAGTAACGCAGATTAATAGGGGAATTCACACATGCGAACATTTTTCTTTTCCTTTTTTCATTTGAGTCGCAAGCATCAGATGTTTTATATAAAGAAAGCTAAGAAATGGATAAAACCAAGTTTCGATATTTACCTAACCGGACCCAACGATGATGTTGTTGATAGGGATGAAGATCAACTTCACGAAGAAGCCTACGAAACCCATCACAACGAACCCAATAGCAGTACGGAATGCAACCTTCGCGAATTCTAATCAAATAGAACCGATTCCGAAAAAGAAATCAGCTAAAAAAACATCAAATTACGAAGATCTGATGGAAAACCAGATAGCAGAAAATGAACACCCCCCCCCCTCAAAAAAAAAAAAAAAAAAAAAACAAAAACAAAATAGAGAGATATAGAAGTACAAATTACCATTGCGATCGGGTTTGTGGCACCTCTTGACGAGGCGAACACTGTCCTTTGCGAAGTCTCTCAAGGGATCAACAACCGAATCCAAGGCATCCATTTCNNNGATTCCGAAAAAGAAATCAGCTAAAAAAACATCAAATTACGAAGATCAGATGAACGAAACATCATTAGAAAATCTAAACCCCCCCCCTTCAAAAAAAAAAAAAAAAAAAAACCGAAAACTAAACAGAGAGAGGTTGAAGATCAATTTACCCTTGCGATCGGGTTTGTGGCACCTCTTGACGAGGCGAACACTGTCCTTTGCGAAGTCTCTCAAGGGATCAACAACCGAATCCAAGGCATCCATTTCGTTTGGTGAAGAAAGAGAGAGATTAATATGAATAGAGAAAACCTAGATCTGAAAATTCAGAGAACAAAAACAACAGCCGCGAAGATAAAGAGGGGAGACGCGGAAGAAGTCAGCGACTTGTATAAATATACAACTCAAAGAGGTCGAGAAAAAGGAAAGAGAGTCGGAGAGAGAGAGAGAGAGGATTTAGCTGGGGTGAGCAAGAAACCGAAAAACCGAACATTTGAATCGAACCGATACCACCGGTTCGGTTTGAAAAAGATCGAACCGTGAGCACCCCTAAATTTAGCGAAACCAACTTATGCCACATGCACGGACTTGCTGTCTGTGCATCAGCCATTAGTATAATTGTAAAAGACTATAAGACCATAGATCGTAAGTCAGGCCGGGTTGAGGGCAACCCTAACCAACCCGAGTTGTTGAACCCTAACCCAATTATATGACTTTGGGCTAGACTAGAATTGGGTTGAGTTGAGCTTGGACTGGGTTGAAGCTGATCCAAATTTTCATTTATTTTTGTCAAATGTTCAATTGTGATGTTTTAGAAGTGCCATATATCATTTATCTCAAAAAGGCCTCTTTTGTGGGTAAATGCACTTGAATCATGATTAACAATTTTTGGGACGTATGGATAAGTAATTTATCTAAATCTGTGGAGAGTATTCTTTCCATAGATAAATGAGCTGTTCGAAAATTGTTCTTTTCTGCAAAACCCACTAATACCGAAAAATGAACATGAATTTATTTCTTGTCCGTAGGACCTACCAATTTACACGCTCCTCCTTCCCAAAAAATGAATGAGGTTAAAATATTTTGTCTTCAAATTTAAAATTATTAATAGATATACATAAACAAATACATTCATTCATTAACTCATACATTATATATATATATATATATACACACACATTTGAAGATATATGGGATATGCATGAGGGTGAAATCAGATTGCCCGAATCCTTAACACTAACTCAATATGAAGTTGATATAAACCCAGACTAACTTTCTTCAAGCTGGGTTGAGCTTAACTGGATTCAAATTGCATCCCTACTTTGGGTTGGGTTCCTCTATATTTTTTGTCCTCCCTATTAAACCTGATGTTATATTCTATGGGGCAATGCCTATCCAGCTCTCCCATCACATGTCTGCAAGTGGAAAAGGAAAATATGATATATTCTACTTCTACCATATGAAAACTCTGATATGTCACTTATTTATGGGTGCCATATTGACAAACCCAATCTTTGGTTTAATTTGGTAATCACTTGAATGGATGGAATTAATTCATTGCTCTGAGCTCTGAAGGGGACCGGATCTAATAGGTACAACATAATTAAGCATATTAAATAAGTATTAAAAGTGGGTTTTAATCTTTTTTTAAAGATGTCAAGAATGGGGTGAAGTATTTTAAGGAACAAGTGTTAAAAAAAATTTTATGTGCTTATTGAATGTGCTTATAACGTTGTGCATGTCAGATCCGAACTGCTCTCGAAGACCACTTGATGGCCTTAATTTTTGCAGCATAGGGTAATTTGCTTACAGCATTGGAATTTGGGGATGAAAGTTTCTTCATGCAGAATGGGCTACCAAAATGCCCCAATTTTAAATGTGTCTCAGTATTACTTCTGCCAGATGTAGAGATCAGGGATGCAACTTGTGATAATCTAAAATCCAACTGGAAAAAAAGTTGCTTGAGGCTTTGGGAAACCTGGCCCGTTCAGATCTTCTACCCGCACCGACCTAGAAGCCACTGCAGCATAATTGGGAATATCAAGATCTGGACAGACCTGACCCAATTTGAACACGATAATTTATATTTACAATACATAATTTTGCATATATATATATATATTTGAGCTTTAAAGGCTTAGATTTGAGTCTGTTCCTCACACCGACCTACCACAATACATCCCAGCCATGCATTGTAAATGATAATATACAGTACAGAAGATGTTCCTATTCACGGCTGCAATGTGTGCCAGGTTGGTGAGGTGTGTTTTGTGAGGAGTAAATCTGGACTTTTTAGATTTTTCATTCATAACACTCCTGTGTTTCAACCTGTTATTGACCTAGTCAGTTAAACCATTTGAATCGTCACTCGGCCTTGATTCCAGGTCTGGTTTTGTTGAAATTTGTTATTTGATAAAAATGTTGACTTGGTAAAAAACTGTTTGACTCAGACGGTTCAACCATTATCCCATCTGACCCAATCACTTAGTTGCGGGTTGCACACCCATTGTATGTATAAACTTCCAAAGGCCATAACTTTGCACTCTGACGCCCAATTTGGGTGATCATTTTTTTGGTAACTTTTCAAGATCTTTGTCCCAAGGCGCCAACCCTGCTATTTTCACCAAAACCCTTTTTTGGGCCTCAAATTGCAATTTTTAACATTATTTTATAAATAAAAAAATAAATACTGAATTAAAGAATATAAAATAATATTTATATATACATATATTACATCTAAAAAATAATTATACATTTTTTAAGGATAAAATGTATATTTATACCTCTCTCTCTCTCTCATATAGGGATGCAAATGGATTGGATCCAATCCGATATATATGCTATATATTTATTTATATAAATATATATAATAGATATATGTTATTTATTTATTTATAATATAATTTTGTAAATTTGTTATATTATTTATTTTTTTTATAAAAAACATCTATATATATGATGAAAATAATAAAAAAAACTTATATTTTTTGTTTTTCTTTATTTAAATTGGTATATTTTATTTTTCTTTTAATAATTTATTAATTTTTAAAGAAAACAAATCAGATCAGATCAGATCCGAATATCTAACTTCCCGATCAGATTCGAATTTAGATCCATGTCTATCAGATCCAATTGGATCTTTGGATCAGATCAAATCAGTAATTAACAGTGTCAGATCAGATTCGGATATACTCTTATTCGAATCGATCCAATCCATTTGATGGCGTGACATGATCTAACCCATTGGACCTGAATAGTCAAACCAATGAACCCACGACCCAGAGGCAAAAGAAGTGAAGAAATTAAGCCAACTAAACCCAATTCAACCCAATGTTACCAGGTTGGGTTAGACTCTTAGGGCAGGTTGGGGGTTCAACTAGCAATGGCATTAATTCCTTTATGTTGTTCATCTATTGCTTCCCAATATAGCACTGCTGTTATTTCTCATCTTAGTAAGGTCAGTAGATATTTTTATCTTGAGTTTGGGGCTTGACCCCACCCCCCTACTTATAACACCCCCCCAACCCAGGTGAGAGCGGAATTTGGTCCCAAAGTCTCCAATAGAATCAGCCAGAGACCTTATCAATCAACTGAACCAGTTTGTCACCGTTAGTTACGTGACAAAGTTATTGTAATAACAATCTCCCGCCTCTTGGGTGATCTAAATGGAAATATTTCTTCATCATTCAGTTTGCAGTCATTGAAGCCTGTCAAATTGCTCCATGATTGCATGATTTGCATCAACATGCAAGAACACCAAGTTCCTCTGAGATTTTGACATTAGCTGGAGATTTTGTGGAAAAAAAAAAGACTAAAACCATCTCAAATTTTTTTCTTATACCCCTCCCAAGTATGAAAGTAGATCTCTGTAACTAGGTTGTCATCGGTCGTCCTCAACAACAGGTACATCATGGTAGTAATTTTGTTGAAACTATATGCTGACTATCCGTTCATCCTTTCTGGAGAGACCGAGGAGTGAACTTGAGGCCATGGCTGCGGCGATGTCCAAAACTAATAGACGAAGGAGAAGAGTCCATGCTTAATTTTGAGACTGCCGAAACCAGTCCAGTAATCATCTCTTCCTCTTCCATTGCCTCCTCCCTCTTATGGTCAGCTTGTTTACGCTGATACTTCTGCCTCTGTTTCTTTGATGGGTGTGCCTTCTTAAAGAACTCAAATGAAGTGGGGAATTTATGCTTGTCTACAAGGTGCTGTTGCCGGCTTTTATAGCTCTTTAGTTTCATCCCACAACCCTCAACCAGGCACTCGTACTGTTTCATACATGCATAGAAAAATTAGTAATGAAATATGATGATTACGGTGCTATAGAAAAAGAGAAGCTTTGTTCTCAGTTATAATCTTGTAACCGGGATCCAAGAAACGATAGGGAGACATAGTAACAAGACATTAAATGCTATTTATTGTTAGCAAAAAAGAGTGCTATTTAGTATGTTGTAATGTTCTGGTCTTATAGAAATATAGTTTCCACCATCCTGGTTTTAGTCCTCTCCCCTTGGGATCAAGCTATACTTCCAGTTGGGTGAACCAATAATTTAGTTGACTTTTTGTTGAGAATTTTTTAACCCTACAAGTTCAATCCCAGCTTAACAGCTGAAAAAAAGAGTTGCTTTGGAAAATACTTGGTCTCCTCATTTTCTGAATTGTACTTCACAACATGCATTTTGATATTTTTAAGTGTACATAACATCATAGACTTCATAGTCACATGTGCAAGCTGCTTCACAAAACATATGCGCATTAAATAAACAAGTAGCAGCCATTGTTCCTAAATGAGATGAGAATTGAATTGGAAAAAAAAAGGTTAAATAAATATACAAGGATGGAATGCAATGAAAAGCAGAAACCTGACCAAAGGCATAATATTGCAAAAAAACAAAGCCGTCAATGGAGAAGAAGAAATACCATGGGAAAGCCACGTGCAACTTTTGCCTGAAAGAAGGAATCATGGGCTTCTGAAACATGTATACTGAGTAACCGTGATGTTGGGTAAACCCTTGAACAAACTGAACAAGATGCAGTGTGTCGGGCATGGTAGTGATCTTCAAAGTCCTCCAAAGAACTCAACTGTGCACCACAACCAACAATTGGGCAAAATACAACCCTGCTAGAAGACCAAATTGTTGAACACAGAACATATAAAACACAGTAGTACGGAAATATTTTTATCAGAAAGGGAATAATGGCATTTACTGTCTGAAGACAGAGCACTTAAATGGTGGTCCTAAACCATGCAAAGTGCAAACCCCTAATTAATGATCAAAAGGTACTTGTTTTCATAAACAAAAATGTTCCTTTTTTGTCATTATATAAATTCAAGTATTTTTTGTCTTTTCACTTGTAATGAGACCAGAGTTCCTATGAAGACTTCTACCCACTCTTCTCAGATCTGAGGGCTTTCCTTTGGACTTCCAAAGAAGGTAAAATTGGTCCATCCATGCACATGCTATTGCATCATTGCCTATAGGTAGTTAATACTGAAGGGTGTTCTGAACTTCCATGCTCCAGATCAAACCTAGGATGTCACAATTTCAAAAAATGCCCCAAGAAAAATGTAGCAATCATTTAGTTCATAGAATTCTTTGCTTAACTGCATTTCAAAATATTCTTAACCAATGGAAAGTAAACACAGCGATTAAATTGATATAATCATGTTGATTATCTACAGACCATATCTCCCAAATGGACACAAAGCAATTGGTTGATATCCCTTGAATACACTAATACAATCTAGCAAAGCCACCCTAGTTTATAATTTAAAAGCAATGAGGCAACTGAAAAGGAAGGTGGCTGAATACAAAAAGGATTCAAGAGTGCACAGCCAGAATAGGAAAAAGCCATTTAATACAAGCCAACAATTCCTTTTCCCAAATTTTTATGATGGACAGAATTATTGCATAGAAGAGGAGAAAACTTGACACATTCTGCCAATAAAATTTTCTATTGAAAATTCAATTTATTATCTGACTTGTCATCACTGTTGCTCAGCCTATGCAAGCAGATTTAAGCCATGCTTTACCCATCTTAACTTAGGCTATGGAACCAACAGTTTGTCCCTGGATCAGGTTAGCACTGCTTGTTTGGCTCACATTTTTCATATCAGGTCTCATTCAATCCAAAAAATAGAACCAATAAAATGAGGACCTAAGTGCATATAACTAAAAGAAAGAAAAAAATAATAAACTATAAGAGATTTCTAGGCAATATATTAATCCTATAAGAGATTTGGCCCTTAAGGTTTGTATAGGTAAATGAGCTTAGGTTGACACCTGCACTTGGTTTGCACACCTGAGAATTGAACTGAGGTCAGTTCATGAGCCTAGCTCAAGAATGAGCTAAGCTAGCTTGGCTCATTTAGAGCACTGATTGTTCTGTTAATGCTCCAGGTAATTTATTTTGCAAGCCTCTCTTTGGGAAGCATAAATTGATTACACGTATCCATGCAATTAGTGAATATGAAACATATCTAAGTAACTTTCCATGCTTATACATATCTAAGTAACTTTCCATGAACTGAGGTCAGTTCATGAGCCTAGCTCAAGAATGAGCTAAGCTAGCTTGGCTCATTTAGAGCACTGATTGTTCTGTTAATGCTCCAGGAATTTATTTTGCAAGCCTTTCTTTGGGAAGCATAAATTGATTACACGTATCCATGCAATTAGTGAATATGAAACATATCTAAGTAACTTTCCATGCTTATACAGCCCCATCTTCATTGCTAACCTAACAGGCACAAAAATGTTATGAACGGTTCTTGGGGCCATAGTCACCAGTTTCTCCAGAACAGCTGACAAATGGTGAATTGATTCACCTTGAGTTGATTCTTGATTTACTACAAATATAGAACGTATCTGATTACTATTTTTGTAAGGTATGAAATAATCCCTGTGTCCTGTATAGTTTTGAATAATTGACAGGAACTAAAATATCCTGACTGGTTCTTAGTACTATGCTCCAGAACTACCAGCAAATAATTAATTGGTTTGCCTTGAACTGGTTCTTGATGGACTACAAGTCAATTTACAAATCACAGAAAGTCAAGCAAATCACATAAATAATCTTTTTCTTATGGTTGAAAACACATTATTTGGCTTGGCCATGAATTTAGGGAAACAAACTAATCAGAGTTGCATATTATTATAAATTAAGCAAATTGATATTCTGAACATGGTGAATTGAATTTTGATGTCACTAACTTAACAAATTAATGGCAATTAATGGCGTATTGAATTTTGGTGAGTGGGAAAACTAGAAAGAATGGGATCAGAAATAAGCATATTCATTGGAACCTAGGAGTAGCCCCAATAGGTGAAGAAGTAACTTGTTGCAAGTTGACGGGTCTAGAAGAGCAAGGGACAGTCCAAAAAAGACATGGGTTGAAGTAGTGACTAATGAGAAATGAGTTGAGGCTCAATAATTAGGCCCAATAATTTAACAATGGATATGGCACTGAACAGAGTGGAATGGTGGGACAGGATCATGTAGCCATCACCATATAGTTGGGACAAGGCTTAGTTCAATTGAACTTTGGTACTTGGATTCACTAACCAACTTTTAAATCATGAATTGTGAATTGAACATGCAGTGAGTTGCTTACAGAGGGTCTCTCTGCTGCAACCATGAGGTTTCAGGTCTGATAGTTCACTCCTAGTTACATAAAATAGGAAGATAAAAAAAAAGTTGTTCAGGAGACATGGAAAACGAACTAAAAAGTTCATCCAGTAAAATTTTCTTCACAACTCCARAAAAGAAATATCAATGGAAGGGAGAGGGCAAGTAGAATATACAACAACAATTTAGTATATCTAAAACAACTTATAGTTACCATTTGTGTACTCAAACATGAAACCTTAGGGTTTTGATGCACTACGTTAACATGGAAATTTGACTTTGACAATTCAATTCCCCTTCCTTTATTTCAACCTGAGTTAAAACTGAGAGAGAGAGAGAGAGAGAGAGAGAGAGAGAGATCTTCTGAGCATAAACTTTGAAAATGGAATCTAACTACTATCACTGAGATGGGGTGGGGGCAGAAGCAGATGAATAAAATCAGCAAATCTTAGTTCCTTAACCAATGCTTTTGGAGATTATTCAGAAATCCATTTAAATTACATATGAAACAATATCTCAGCACGAGTATCTGTATCATGGGAGTATAACATAAAAACATATTTTAAGGCTAGTTTAGAAGACAGGAGGTAGAAACCCATCCTGAGAGTACTGACTCACTGTGACAGTGCTGAGACACAAGCAAAACATGTTACCACAATGCCCTTTCTATGTAAACTCTTTATTTTCTGTTTCTTTATTAAGTCCTAACAGATCAATATATGACAACATTTTATTTTGGTCTAGCTCTTCAATAAGAGAGGAAAAAGGAAGAATAAATTTTTGCATTCTATCCTAACGAGAGGATAATTTATTAGAAAGCCAAGAAGGAATTACATACCATCCTCCCTCATACTCCATGTCTAGAATCTGATTCTTTTCATCTTCAGTTAAATCTAATGCAACCTGGATATAAATTGGCCAAAAACAAAGAAGAAAATATATATATCAGTACTATATAATGAAAAAAAATGCAGGAAAAGAATACTTCCAACAATGAATGAACCAAAAAAATTCTAAAATAGAAAAATTTAAAAGAGTCTATACTCAATAAAGGGGGTCTTGCATGAAAGGGCACTTCTAATCATAAGATTGCTGTCATGTAAAAATCATAGTTGTCAAGGCTATGCCTAGGCGATAAGGCGCTCTTTGAGGGTCGCCTTGCTCAAACAGCTACATATTTATATGCAAGACACCATATGATATTTTTATATTTTATTTTATGTTATTAATAGTAGTACAATAGATATTATTAGACTAAAGTATTCATATTGCGGGTTTATAGTAAAATAATATTATTATTTTTATGCTGCTGATAAAAAATATTATTTTTTATACTAGTTTCTTTTTATTATTTTCTTATTTGCATGGATTCAATTGACACACAAGTCAGTGACATAGACTTGAACCCTTTCAGACTTTAAAACCTAAATTAACAAGTAAGAAATAATTTGAAGATTTTATCCTATTAACACACACAAGAACAATCAATAGGACTTTTTCTTCATCATCATCTTCTTTTTTCATAAACATGTTGATTTTCTATCTTTCCACATGGGGTTTACACTTATTTCATGAGGATTATGGTAATTATTAGTTAAAGATTACTGCTTATTACTATGAAACCTAAGGAACTACTCTAGGATTTATATTTTTTTTATTCTCAAAAACTCATTGCCTAGGCAGGCACCCAGGCATCGCCCAGATGACTAAGCAATAAGGCGCTCCCTTGTCACCTAGCTTCGCCTTGGTACCTTGAAAACTATGGTAAAAATGAAGCTCAATTGTTTACCCAAAAATGGAAGAGGGTTTTTTCCACCCTTTACTATTTGAAGGACCCTATTCAGTGGTTGCCACTCATAGAGTCCATACCAATACATCATAGAGTAAACATGATGTGGAGGATGAAACAATCCATGTTTCTGATAAAGAGGTTTTTCCATCTACTATCCATCAGATGGTTTGCATTCAGCACATCAGTGCACCATGTGGAAGGGAATTGTCCATCCAAAGAGGTATGTTTTTCAGGATTATTTTACTATAAATCATGGATATCGACTTTACTGTTTTACATCATATGAATACACATTATGATATTTTGATGTTTTAACCAAGAAGGAATTTCATCTCTTCATGTAATCTGTATTTCTCGAAAATATATTCTTGTGCATTAATGAGGTTAAACTCACAAGCTCAAGTACATATCTACTCAGTATGATATGAAGTGCTAAAATTTAAGAATTAAAATGCCACAAACATGTCCTAGAAAAATCAATGTGTCCTTTTGTAAATATACCCTTGAATCAATGTATTAAGGTGATATCCTTGTATGGTACCCCTAATACACAGGAAAAACATGGATATCTTAGGATTATCACTACTGAGCAATATGGGTTATTTTACAGGTATTGCTTAAATGTTGAAAATAGATTAATGCCGATGCTGCTTTTTAAACCAGATTGAATGAAATGTCATGTATATAGCTTAAAAGTAGACACGATAGCCAATATCTTCTACCAAATATTTCCATTTAGGCAAATAGAGCCATGAAATATACTTGTAACGTTTCCCAAAGACCGTGTAATGTTTCATACGTTCCATGCCATTTCAAACGAAGTTCTTCTTAGTTGTACAAGTATGATGTTTTAGTCTATGCATATGGGGATTGAAACCAAACAATAAACTCTTTATTCTTTAAGATTTATACGTGCAAAGGTAAAAGTAAATCACTTTTTTTTTTTTCTTTCTTTGAGTTTCTCAAGTTTAGTGGTACTTCCTTATGACTATCTTTTTCTATACCGAGAATTTGCCCAAACAAAGCAAACCCTGTTCAAAATTGAAGGCTAAAAATACAAGTAATTACTTCTTCTGAAAATCGGGAACTAATAGCATGAATTGCTCGTTAATTACTCGAAGTAATTCTTTCTCTTCTTTGCAGAAGTTAAAACCTCGCACAGACGATTGCAAAACCCGAACAAAGAAAATAAATAATTAACTTAGGAGAATGGAAAAAAAAAAAAAAAACAGAACGAACCTGTTTGGCGAGAAGCTCTCGTTCTATGTTGCTGGAAGCAAAGAATGGAGCATCAGGACTAAATCTTCGACAAACTGGTATCCAATACGGAAACCCTAATTTATCTTCATTTGCAGTGATCACCATTATTTTCTTCGCCTTAGCAGATTGATGTCTTTTGAAATCAATTGGCTTTGAGAATGAATGTGCCAACAACTTCTCCTTTTCGACTTGGAGACTGAAGAAAGAGAATGAAAAAGAAAAAACAAAACAAAAACACTTAAAAAGAAAAAGAAAACTTACAGATCAACACTATGTATTTTGGAGTACTAACACTCCCCCCCCCCCCGAACTTTCATTTGTAACAAAGCCTACCCTAAACTTAATGTTCAAGTAATTAGCACCTGCCTTGTCAACGAGCTTGATAGTAAAATTAAACTTACTAAAATGTCCATTGAAAGCCTGCTAAGTTGATTAAAAAAATATCAAAACAAAGAAAATAGGCATATAAGAGCATGGTATCTCTTGTTATACTGTTAGTGTTTTTTGTATTTTCTTTTTTTTTTTATGCCCGAATTTGTACGTGTAAATAAGTATTAAATATATATGATATATGATATTTGGATTTTATTTGTATAAAATCTAAAGTTAAATATTTGCTTTATATAGTTTAATATATCTATTTATATTTTTTGAAAATTTTGTTGTAATTTTTTATTTTTATTATTTTTTTATATTGTTTGTATTTTTTACATTTTTTTTTATTTTTGTTCCATTTTATTTATTTTTGCCAAAACGTCTCATAAAATGATATAAGGGTAACTTGTATATTTTGGAAAGTTTAAATACCCACACATGGCAGTTACATAAAATGAAAATCTTGTATGAGGAAAGTTAATTGACCATTTAACAAAATGCTAAAAGTGGTAGCAAAGTGCTAGAATGTAAAGTTTAATTAGGTCTTTCTTACAAATGAGATTTTAAGGCACTAAATTTAATGTCACTACCCCCAAAGTACCATTCTTACAAATGAGATTTTGAGGTTAGTCTCACTTCAGTACTGAATTTCAAAACATGATTTTCAAAAACACTTAAATATACCTTTACGTCAAAGGACTTAAAGAATGTTTTCGAACCGTCGTTGACCCGGACGGTCTGATCGTTTGGCCCAGGAATCGTCCAAGCAACTAGTTCCATTTTACCCAAAACCAGGAATCTGGTAAAAACTATTGAAAAAGTCAATAAACTGTTGACCCAAGCAATCGAACTGTCAACTCGTTCAATGGTTTTGACCATTTTTTATTTTTTAATTTTGCTGTCAAAATGGGTCGTCCATTCGAACCAGACAGTCGGACCGTTGACCCGAAAACTGGTGCCCATAACGGTTTCATTTACGGGTCGTATTTTAAAATGTTGGACTTAAATATACTTCCCTTTTGTCAAATTCCATTGACATCACATTTAAATATTTCTAAAAATCCAATTTTGTTCTTCCAAAGTTCCAAGTGTTGAGAGCTCTACAATTAAGTGGATTCATTAGTTCAATCCGATTGAGCATTGGAAGGAAATTTGTCTAGAATTCAAATTCAAAATAACTAGAGACGGAATCAAATTAAGAAAAGATTAAAGCAAAAGAAGACGAAATAGGAATAGAGCATGGTTTTGAAAACTAGACTAGACCGGTTGACCTGGGAACCGTCCAAGTAACCGGTATTCTCTGTACTAATCTCAATTGCGTCTTCATAGCCTCCACCTTTGCTCTCTTCATCACCTTGTTCCACCTCCACATTTGCCTTCAAAAAGTATGATGACATGTTTTTATTCAAAGTATTCCTTGTCATTGTTTGATCTAAACACTTTCACTCATACACCAAACTATGTCAACACCATCTAATGGAATTGTTGAACTAAAACCAACACATCATCACGAGATTGTTATGGACGCATTCCTCGGAAAGACGTACCATCGCTGCCGGCAGCAACAGGAACCTGACCCACCGCCAGATTAGATTAGATCATCTTGCTTGTTCTTATCTTATTCTATTGCTCTTATCTTATCTTGTTAGT